GGCTGTGAGTTCATTCAAAGCTGGAAGGTAAACAAAGAGAGAAAACGGATCCACGATGAAGTCCTTAGTTGCCCCCACGCTGCTGCAGGTGGAAAGCTGCAGCAAACATACGAAGCCCCTGTAACTTTCATACGAGTGGTGCTCCGTGTCGATAGCCACAACCTTGTGGCGGCCTGAGAAGAAGCAGAAGCGGCGCCAGAGAGGGCAACAACAATGAAGCCAGCACCAGCACATGCAACAGAAGTGCGTTATCAGTAACTTGCTCGAAGCAGCACGCCTCTGCAGCAGCAGCAGCAGAAAAGCCTGTATGCAGCAGCAGCCTCGAAGGGAAACGAGATAGGCAACGAAAGAAGCAGCAGCACCGCAACCTCCAGTTGAGACAATAACAACACAAACAACAGCAACAGTAGAAACAGCAGAAACAGCAACAGAAGCAGCAACACCAACACGCATATGAAAGCACAGTGTATCTAACCGCTGCACAGTTCATCCAGCATCTCTCGAAGCTGCCGTGGCGTTTCCACCAGAACAAGCGGCGTCTCCTCCACAGGCTGAGGCATTGGAGGCTCCTTCAAGGCAAAGAAATCTGTTGGGAAGCGACCACAGCAGCAGCAGCAGCAAAAACAACAACAATGCAAACGCAAAGCAGCAGGGCCTACTTCTCGCACTACACCTACTAGTGCCAGCGTGGTGATATGCCGCTGGTGGTGCCGCCTCTAATGCATCCCGCGCAGGTGCAGAAGCTGGAGGAACAGATAAATGCTGCTGTCGTAGCTATGGCTGGGGGTCAACATACCTGAATATATATCTGGTTGCTGCTTGTCCCCCTGCAGCAGCCACTCCAGTGCCTTCAATTCTCCTTCATAAGGATGAGGAAGCGGCTCCGAGCTCTCTGCTTTCTGCGCTTCATCTTCTTCCTGCTGCAAATCCTGTATCTGCTGATCCTGCTGCTGCAGCTGCTGCTGCAGCTGCTGCCGCTGCTGTCCCGTCGCCGCCTCGAGAGCCAAGGCTGTAGACACTGCGTCCTCAAACAGATCCCTGCGCCTCTCGAGCCGGAGAGCCCGATGCTTCTGAGCCTCTATGATAGATGAAGGCAAGGGGTATTTCTTATGAGGTTTCTGCTGCAGCCGAGGGACAAAGCGTCTGCTGTTATTGTTTATTAGGTATGCCCAGTGGC